GCCTAAAATGCCTGATTTCACAGCGGCTTTTCTAAAATAAATGACACTTGTTGCAATGTTTTTAGGCATTTTTTACAATAACATTGTGGGGGAAAGTAAAATTTTATCAAATATGGCAGGATAAAAAAGTAAGTAGGTTTGGTTTCATATGGCTCAATGTTTTGTGTGGGGGATTGTTAGGATTAGTTAAACGTGTCAAAAGTTGTGGTGATAGGACAAAACGGTCTTGTAGCCCTGATATTCTCAGTATTTGTGCCTTAGAGCCCTTGTTTCCAACCAGCTCCTCCAAAGTGGATGAAAGTATGCTCTAATATATCTGACACTTTTAAAGTCCCATATAGTTTTCATATCCCAAAAAAATACAAAGTCACAAACTAAATGAGCTCTGGATCCAGTGATAGAGCAAACTCTATACAGATTACTAAATATGGGAAAATGTAACACATTTAAATGTTTATATTCAATAAAGAATTATAGCAACAGCTTTTATGTGTATGGATCAAAATGTTTATGTTTTGTAAGATTCAATTTGTTCCTGCAGTACATTGATTTAGTTCCAACCGATTACATTATATTATTCTTGTTCCTAGAAGATAATACTGTAAATACCATTTTTTCCAACTCTTTGCATTAATGTGACTGATTACAAAGTCATTTCCACAATGCAGACACTGACTGTATGTGAGAACACATTTATTCAAAAACTGTTGTTCAATCAACACATCGACAGTCCATTCATACACTTTATAAAAATTTGCAAGATATTTAAGATCATTTATACTATAGTGGCACTGGTTTAAAAACGGAAGCATTGGTTTAAATTAAGGAAATGCAGTACTTAATCTGGCCAAAGCCTGCAAAAACAAGGATTCAAATTTAAGTTAAAGTCACGTCCTCCAGCTTGCATGCTGAAACTGCATAGATTATTTACGGCATTTTTTACAAGAGCTTTGGCTCATCAGGCCACCTACTGCAGGTGGACTGGTAAGCCATAGACCACAGGTGCAGCTCCGATGAGGTGTTTCAGGTGTGTGGCCTGACGTGACGGGCCCATGTGATCCAGAAGGGGAGCTCCAGACCCAGCAGATAACCAGGACTCCAACAAGGCTTTAGTAAAGCGATCAATATCCCGATCTGTCACATCCCACAGGTTTCCCAAAACAAAGGGGCTAAGGAGGAATAAGAGATATGTTCATGACACAGACACCACAGAAAATGATGACAAAGTCTCAGCCAGTGTTCAGTGAAATTATGACACACAATCCATCAATATTCCTTGTGCTGTTATAATGGTTTGCACACAGAGAAAGATTGGTGGCAGCCATCTTACTTTCTGCAAACCAGTAAAAAAAAATATAGATTTTTTTTATGTTATTTAACAAAACTGACAATATCATTAATGTGAGTCCTGTTCAGATCACTTCTAGTCATTTCACTGAATAAAAAATAAAATCAGCAAATTCAACTTTGTGGATCAGCTACATCAAGATATAAAAACAACTGAAGACATATCTCACCATCCTGCTATGAGGTAGTTGAGGATGATGCCTATTCCTTCCTGATCCCCACGCAC